TCTCAATGAGTTCAAGGTCAGCCTGGTCTACAAAGTGAGTTCCAGGACAGCCAGGGCTACACAGAAAAACCCTGTCCTGAAAGACAAAATAACTGGATGGGTGGATGGGTGGATGGGTGGATGGGGTGGGTACTGAACAAATACCTTACCAAGGAGGAAACAGGGAAACAGCATATGAAATGTCCACTGTCTCAGACTTAAAACAGGGAGATGCCACCACACACCTGCAAGGAGGACTGAAATGTAAAAACTGATAAGGATTTGAAACAACAACAACAGCTCATTCATTACTAATAGGGCTGCAGAGTGGCCTGTCTACTTTGGAAAGCAGCTTAGAGAACTAATCTCTCTCCTCCCTCCCCTCCCCCTCTCAATTTTATGTGTATGGATATTTTGTTTGTGTACCTTTTGTGTGCTCATGACAGATCTCCTGGATCTGAAGTTGAAGGTGTTTGTAAGCTGTATTGTGGGTGCTGGAAATCAAACCCCAGTCCTGGACAAGCATCCATTGCTTTTTTTTTTTTTTTTTTTTTTTTTTTTTTTTTTTTTAGATTTTGAGACAGGGTTTCTCTGTAGCTTTGGAGGCTGCCTGGAACTCACTCTGTAGACCAGGTTGGATGGCTTCCAACTCACAGAGATTTGCCTGCCTCTGCCTCCCAAGTGCATGCGCCACAAACACCCAGCTTTTTTTTTTTTTTCTGAATGTGTAGCCCAGGCTGGCCTCAAACTTGTTATCCTCCTGCCTCTGCCTACTTCAGCAAATCCTACGGGCATGCGCTACCACAACTGTGTTTTTTTTTTTTTTTTTAAGATGTATTTATTATGCATATGGTATTCTGTCTGCATGTATGCCTGCGGGCCAGAAGAGGGCACCAGATCTCATTACAGGTTGTTGTGAGCCACCATGTGGTTACTGGGAATTGAACTCAGGACCTCTGGAAGAACAGTCAGTATTCCTAATCTCTGAGCCATGTCTGTAATTCCACTAAATTCACATGTGGTCTCTCATAAGGCTTCTGAGGGTGAGGTCAATGGTAGAGCATTTGTTTTGCATTGTCAAGGTTCTATTCCAGGTGACACACACACACACACACACACACACACACACACACACACACACACACACACACACACACACACACACACACCCACAACAGCGACACACACTGGCTTCCATTCCAGGGGACACACACACACACACACACCCCTATCTTAGATGGTGGCTAGAACCCTAAGAAGAAAGGCATACTGGCAAGAGAATCAATTTATAGATGCACTGAGACTCCTGAAGTGCCAGGAGACGAAGTCTTTAAGAACAGAGGCAGAGAGGCTGTAAGAGCCCATGGGTACCTGTACAGTTGCTGCTGCTATGTCTTTGATTGTGTGACAGATGCCAGAAACCAGTAGAGTTTTTAGGTCACCATTGACAGAGGATAGAATTGTCCCCACTGGGAAACATCAGAAACAAACTCAGCTTTAGCTCAACACAGACACAGGTGGTTAAGAGTAGAAGTGCATGTTATGTATAACACTTCAACCTCCCATATCCACCAGCTTTATCTCTGAGGGTTCAGCCAAACACTGAAAACAATTGAAAGGGGACTGGAGAGATGGCTTAGTGGGCAAGAGCACCAGCTACTCTCCCAAAGGACCCAGGTTCAGTTCTCAGCACCTACATGGCAACTCACAACTGTTTGTAACTCCAGTTCTAATTCCTTCTTCTGGGCTCTATACACACTGCATACATACAGTACAGACATTCATGCAGGCCAAACACTCATGCACATAAATGTAAGTAATTTTATCCTGGTACTCTGGAGACCAGGCTGGCCTTGAACTCACAGAGATCCACCCGCCCCTGCGCAGACATTCATGCAGGCCAAACACTCATGCACATAAAAGTAAGTAATTTTATCCTGGTACTCTGGAGACCAGGCTGGCCTCGAACTCACAGAGATCCACCTGCCCCTGCCTCCGGAGTGCTGGGATTAAATTGTTTTTGTTTTTCAAGACAGGGTTTCTTTGTGTAGCCTTGGCTGTCCTGGAACTCTTTTCTGTAGACCAGACTGGCCTTGAACTCAGAGATCTGCCTGCCTCTGCCTCCTGGGTGCTGGCATCAAAGGCATGCACCACCACTGCCGGCCAGGCTTGTTGCTCAGTTTTGACTGAGGCCATTGCTGTGAAACGACCTGAGAACACTGTAGGCTTTTCTGAGTTTCAGACACAACAGGAACCTGTAGACCCATTTGGAGCCTTTTCTGCCTGGCATTACAGTGGACTCCATGGAGTCTGGGTCTCTTCCTGAAGAACAGCACAATCCAAGATCTGGGTGCTAGGTGTTATTTGTTGCCACTAGGGTAAGGCTGGCTTTAGGCCCCGAGTTCAGAGAATGCCATATACTTGTCTTCACCAACCTATATCCACACATACAGTTACCCAGATATCTGTGGAGTGTTGGTTTTTTAGGATCCTCCAAAGATAATAAAATGTGTGAACACTCAAATTCTTTATGAACAGTGCTATCAGTATATAGCGACATACATCTCTCATTTACTAAAATCATCTCTAAATTGCACATACTAGCTAATATGAAATGTGGCTGCTATATACAGAGCTGGTTTAGTGCATGACGGACAATGACGAGGAAAAGGTCTATACATGTTCAATATAGATGTGGTTTGTTTTCAGATTTTTCTTTTTGGGGGGTGGGGGATAGGTTTTGAGACAGGATTTCTTTGTGTAGCCTTGGCTGTCCTGGAACTAGCTCTGAAGATCAGGCTGGCTTTGAACTCACAGAAATCTACCTGTTTCTACCTCCCAAGTGCTGGGATTAAAGGTGTACACCAAAACAAACAAAAAAATGTTTTCTTTTTAAAAAGAAATTTGTGGTGGTAGCCATGCACACCTTTAATCCCAGCACTCAGAGGCAGAGGCAGTCGGATCTCTGAGTTTGAAGCCAGCCTGATCTACAGAGCGAGTTCCATAACAGCCAAGAGTACACACAGAAACCTTGGGGGGTGGGGGAGACCAAAACCCAAAGAACTGAGCCACAGAATCAGTAAAGTGATGCTAGAACATTACCCAAACAAAGCATGAAGTCTCATATGGAGAAGTCCATAGTGAGATGAGTGATTAAATCAATAAACAGGGACAAGAGGCATGGTCCCCATGGAGAAGAATCCATGTGGATGGACTCTACCTGAGGAAACTGTAAGCCCTGTGCTTTTTCTGCTCCTTCCCCAGAGCTCATCAAGGGGGTGGAGGATTGCTCTGCTGTAGAGAACAGCCATGCTCAAGGTCAGCATCAGAGTCCTAATGGACAATGGATGTTGACAGTGGAGACTATAGTTGATCAAGGGGTGTTTGTTTGCTCCCTGGGAAACAGATCACGTTGACAGTGGAGACTATAGTTGATCAAGGGGTGTTTGTTTGCTCCCTGGGCTTTCCTCCCCAAGCCCACAGCCATATTCTTACTGTGAGGAAAGCAACAAGGAAGTCTTCAAACAGGCTGAGCAGTTGTGCTCACATCCAGCTGGGTCACCAGAAACAGCCTGTCACCACCTGAGGAGCCCAAGAGATGTGAAGACCCATCATGTGGGTCCCTACACAGACACCTGGGCAGAGGAGGGCTTTAGGGGGAACTGAAGAAATGGGGGAAAGTGTGAACTTTATTTGGTTAAAAGTCTATTTAAAAAAATAAGGCATATGTTTTCCTTTTATGCTATCTGCTCAGCCGACATATTTTGAAGTACTTAGGTACTTCTTACAACTCAGCCTTGTAAATGATTATTTACCCAGGCCTTGTAGCTGTGGTCAAGTTTCCTCACCACCCAGCCTACATGGCTATGTGCTGCTTTGCACCGCAGGATGACTGTGTCCTTGAGGCACACTGATGGCCCCAGATGGGTGTGACACAGACTTGTCTCAGGTAAGCAGAGCAGTGGCATCACTTTGTCATGATCTTTTTTATTTCTGTCCTCTTGGGAATGGGAATTCTTTTTTGTATTTTGTTTTTGTTTTTCAAGACAGGGTTTTCCTGTGTTACAGCTCTGGCTGTCCTGGATCTCAATTTGTAGAACAAGTTGGCTTCAAACTCACAGAGATCTGTCTGCCTCTGTGCGCCCCCTCCCCGTGCTGGGAATGGGAACTATTAACTGCCCTTCACCTAACAGTATTGCAGTCTGCACTGGAAAGCTGCTAAGTCAGGCTTTGTCTTGCTTGAGGTATATCACTTCAAAGTGCCCTTTTCAGGTGCCTTTCCCACCTCCTGTCTTTCTTGCTAGTGCACCTGTGATTCCTCCCTGCAGAGCTAAGCAGCGAGGGCTCAGTTCCTGACAGCATGGTGAGGAGCCCGGTAGGAAAGTAATCCAGAAAGTCGCATGTGCCGTGGAGGGCAGGGTAGGGCAGGGTGGGACTGGTAACCCTGTGAACACTGATCCAAGCCAGTCCTTAGCAGGGGCGGTGGCTTCACAGCTACAGCCTGAACGGAGAGCCCTGGGCTGTCGCTACTGTAGTACAGCCCTGGCTCTATGGGATCCATGCTTCTGCACTCTGTGCTGTTTGGTCACACGTAGGTGCCATACTTAAGTCTTCCATCTTGTACTTCCAAGAGCACATTGGTGTTGGAGGTGGTGACTCAAAAGGACAAAAACTCTGGGAAGGCCTGTTGGACATGTGCTATCAGATAGCCATTAGATCCTGCCGTTTTTTCAGGGGCTTTATGGAGTCTGATCAGCATGTGTCCAAGTGGAAAGTGGTGGCACTGTGAATGACATGAGAAACCTAACACAAGGACATATGAGAGGTGCTGCTTGTGGGCTGTTGAGGTAGAGGGAACCATTGTGGATCCGCCTCCTGCCTGGTAGCTGCCAGACTGAATTGTGGGCTACTCCTGCATGCCAGGGACTGGCCTAACATGGGTGTCCTCTGGGGTCCCTGCTGCCTCCTTTGCCTGGAAGAAGCTTGCACATACTGAGAGGCTGTTTGTTCTTTATTTGCAGAGGTATTGTGGCCAGTATTTTGGTTTTCTTATGTTTTGGAGTCACACAAGCCAAAGACGGGCCGTTTTCCAGACCTCATCCAGGTAACTTGCCGTTTCTTTGTACATGTGTGCCACCTAGCCCTTCTGTTCCCAGCAGCTGTTGTGTCTGTGCTGCTGGATGTGAATGTCCTGTTCCCCCCTCTGCCAGCTCCTCCTGTGGCTGCTACCTCCATGGCAGGGAAAGCTGCCTGTACCTCCTCCACTTGTCCCTCACCTGTCCTATGGCTCTCTCACCTTGTTCTTACAGCCCAGGTGCCCTGGGATCATAGGAGGGGCTGGAGATGTAGGGGTAGCTGTTGGGTGCTGTTTCCATCACCCCTTCCCCAAGTCCTGACAAATCCATGGATTTGGATTGCCCCCTGTGAACCTCAGCTGGAGGTGACAGGCTACCCACTTGTCTCCTCAGTTGGCCAGAACTCAAATGAGGAGGCCCTTGAGGCCACAACTTGGTTGGTGTAACTTAAGGACCTTAGCATATATTTAGAAACATGTTTCTTTTCTGTCTCAATGGGAGTATAAACTGTGGAAATACAGAAACTATTTTTAGGCATTTAAAAAAAAATAAACACTTAAATGTGGATGTGTTGTGTACATTTATTTATTTACTTATTTTTGAGGGTCTCACTATTGCTCAGGCTATTCTCAAATTCCTGGATTCAAGGAATCGCCTTGCCTCCCTTCCTGAATACTAGGACCACAAGTGAGCACCACAGCACTGCTGGTTTTCCTAGGTTTTGTTTGTGGGTTTTTGTTGTTGTTGCTTTTGTATTGTTTTATAAATTAGACAGTCTGAGATTTGCCCATATGTCTCTGTGTACTTACCTGATTATAAAGCAAACCATTGTAGGAGCAGAGATAAGGGCTTAGCCCTGAGTTTGTTAGCCTTCAGGATGGTGCATGTCTGCCAAGGGTAGGTAGGTAGTTCTGAGCTGTCAACAAGACTCCCCTGTGGCCCAGAGACTCTGAGCTGGGCCCTTCCGGGATCCGAGTAGTCTGTGTGGTCTGTGGTTGCTGCTAGATTATTGATTGAGTGGCCTCCGCCCTCTAAGCCTATCCAGCCATGCCTCAGTAGGGTTTGCAGCAGAGCCACAGAACAGCCAAGTACTTAAAAAGTGCCCAGTTTGTTTTAGCAGCATGGTTTCTCCTTTGACATGTTTAACTGTGATATTTTCAGATGGCCACTTCTGAAATAAGTTTCTCTCCTAATGGTCACTCAGTATTTGCAGTTGACATTCTCTATTTTGTAATTTATTTTTATCACACACCTGTATATTTGGTTTTCACTGGAAAGAAAAGACGCTCAGTTTTAGTGTTAAAGTTGTACACATTGCTATGTTACGATAAAACTACATATGAAAAGGGGATGGGGCTGATTGCTAGGTGCTTGCCCTGTGTTTGGAATAGGACTGTAAGCCCATCCAGTAAGGCACACTTCCTCTCTCTTGGATGCCACATCTCAGTCAACATGACAGATGGGACCAAACTAGACACTGCAAGTGTCTGTGGGATATGCAGGTTCTCTACTTCAGGGACATAAGTCCTATACCCTGGCAAGCACAAGTCACCATGTCTGAAATAGTTGAGAGCTTTGGAGACTCCCACTGAACTCTGAGTTAAGTGACTACTGCTCTGGTTCCCAGTACTTGGATGTTCCTCCTCCTCCTCCTCCTCCTCTTCCTCCTCCTCCGCCTCCACTTCCTCCTCCTCCTCCTCCTCCTTCTCCTCCTCCTTTCTTCTTTTTTTTTTCTTTTGTTGTTTGTTTGTTTGTTTGTTTGTTTTTTGGCAGGGTCTCGCTGTGTGGCCCTGGCTGCCTAGAACCCATCCTTGTAGACCAGACTGGTCTTCAACTCAGATATCTGCCTGTCTCTGTCTCCCAAGTACTGAGATCTAAAGGCGTGTGTTGCCAGACCCAGGAGTCCTCTGCCTCTTAACATGCATGCTCACTTAGGAGTTACTTTGAGAGCTTTGCTCTGCCTTTCCTTCCAGTGTAGTAGCTTTGCATAAGCTCCAGGCTGTTTCACTATTCTTTGTCAAATTTATATAGGAAATCTGTCCTTAGCCACCTCCCATCTCACTTTTTGTTAATATACTGAGCATGGAGCCCCCAGAGCCTCCAGTCCAAAGGCATGTGACATAGCTGAGAGAGACATCAACAAGAAGCACCATGGGAGGGACAGCTCAAATGGGTTCCACTCCAGGAGGGCTTCACGAAGGGCTCTGCCCTCCACTCTACTTAGGAAGACCCAGTCAGGCTGCCTCAGCTGGGGCCATTGCTTACCTGGCCTCATTAGAGCAGCAAAACGAGGTTTCAGCTGACCTGTCTGGGGAGTTGCTTTATTTGGAAACTAATTGGCTGTGATTCCAAGTGGACACCTTGAAACAGGTTCTGGTTCTTTTAAAACAACCTCCCTCCTTGGTTCAATTTTTTGTTTTTGTTTTATCTGTGAAGTGCTAGGCGCTGAGCCCTGGGCCTCATGCATACTAGACAAGTGTACCACCACTGAGCCCCAGCCCCATCCCCCTTGCCTGCTTCTTTTATCTGTGGCTATGTCCAAAGCTAGGGTTCAGATGTCATCACCAGCACTGCTAAATTGCCTGTGTTCCTTCTCATATTTTGTATTTGGGTGGACAAGGGCCACTGGCATCAAAGCCACCACACCCATAGATCAGGGGATTTGGGAGAGGGTGTAAAGGCAGCTGGATATTTAGAGATGGGCCTAAAGGAGGCAGGGATTCAGGTGGTTTAACTTCTGATTTGGGCTCTTCCTTGAAAAGATGGGAAAGGCAGGCAACAGCAATAGTGAAGAGATAACGCCAGCCTCAGAACTGATGGCATAAGACATGTTGGGGTGGGCACAGCCTTTAATCCCAGCACTTGAGAGGCAGAGGCAGGCAGATCTCTGTGAGTTCAAGGCCAGCCCAATCTACAGAGTGAGTTCTAGGATAGTCAGGGCTATACAGAGAAACCCTATCTCAAAATACAAAAAAGGGGGTGGGGTTCCTGTTGGAATGTGTGGCTTTAGGTATCTGCCTCCTTTTAAGGAGACCTCCCCCCACTACACAAACTGCAGTGGTGTAGCCCATCTTGCCACCTTCAACAGCCATTGTACCTCTAGAGCTTCGGGAGATTCTCACACAGGCTCCCCCCCACTTCAGGTGTGAAGAACATTCATAACCTCCGTCTGCACCCCAGAATAACATGAGCAAATCCATTACGAGCTTCCCACATCATGTTTCCTCTCTGGATTGGTCATTCTCAACCAAGTAGATAGGTCACACACCCCGATTGCAGGGAGCCTCCCTGGCTTTTCAATACTGTGGTGCCATTGAGGGTGGACGGTGTTATAATATCAGAAATCTGCTGATAGGGTTTGTGTTAAAGTACCTTCCTAAATCAATGAAGAAGGGGCTGGCTGCGAAGGAGGACTGACCACCATGAAGTCCTCAGGCACCACCAAGACATGGGTGCCCGGCACTGTGCCCGTGCACACTCCATTAACATGATGAAGGTGGAAGAGATTTCAGAGGGCAAGTACCGACAGCCGGCAGTGAAGCAGGTCCAGGTCAAGAAGATAAAGTTTCCGCCTCCTCACCATGTGTTGCTGCGCCAGCACCCACCAAGGTTCACGACCAAGAGGCCTAACACCTGCTTCTAGAAACTAAAACTATACTTGTTCTTGCTTTAAAAAAATGAACAGGTTTTCATCCCTGAAAAAGGTGCCCAGCAGAACCTGGTGCAAGTCAGCAGCTTGAGTGGTACATAGGAGAGCGGGATCCTGCCATCACCACTTCTGCCCAACATTATAGGTCTCTGTACTTTACTTAGTGAACTAAATCCTCAGGACTGGGAGTAGAGGAAGCATTTCAGAGAATTTATTTAGGCCTTGCTTATAAAGATTCTACAAAGGACACCTGAGCACCCCCTAGAAAAATACTTCCTGTGATCGAGAACCTCCTGGGGCTGGGTGGGGCCTAGAGCCCCAGAACAGAGCCCCTGACATTGCTGTTATCTTGTTGTAGCTTACTGGCGGTTTTGGCTGTGTGTTAGTGTGGTCTACGAGTTGTTTCTCATCTTCATCCTCTTCCAGGTAAGCAGCTTTTCTTGGTTGATAAAATAGGAATAGATAATAGAGGAGGCCTTGAATTGTCAGTCCCCAGAGCCCTGCAAGAAGCCAGGCTGGAACATCAGAAGGGCCCATATGGAGGGCTGTCTTAGTGTGGGTGCAGGCACAGGCTACTGCCATGTCTGTATACAAACAGGACAGACGTGGAGAAGATAGCTCATCTGATTTCAAGACAGGAAATGTGCAGTTGAGCAGATTTGCCACTGGCCTATAGCTGAGCAGTTGCAGCTTCAGGAACTTTGACCTACCTGGGACCCACAGAGCTGGTGAGGCTGGCAGCTCACCAGGGGGTGGAGTGGGGCTGGAGTGTTAAATTGTGTGTTCACTAATGGTTCACTCGTTGAACTCTGAGCTTCATGAGTGAGTGACCAGGTTTGTTATTGTGCCATCTGTGGCAGTTATTCAGGGCTGAATCCCTGTGCATGTACAAATCCTAGGAGGACCAAAAACAGTTCCATCTCTAGAAAATTCACTCAAATCCCTTGATAGTCTCTGTTCTACCACACCTGCCATCTGTCAAGACTCAGAACAGTCCGTGAATGGAGCTACCCAGCAGGCCATGTGAACCCTTGATACTCCTCTGAGGTCCACCCAGCTGTGTCATCGGCACAGGGCCTCTTCCTGTGGCTGGGAGACATTCCAGGGTGTCATTCTGCCCACTCAGCAGACCTGAGAGACCTTTGGTTTCCCATTTGGAGCTGCTGTGAATCAAGCCACTCTCAACACTCCTGTCAGGTCTTGTCTGGACACAGATTTCCATTTCTGTCCTGGACAGGCCATAGTGGTCTCACTGGTTACATCACACTTCAGTAGTTTGAGGAGCTGCCAGGCTGCCTTCCAGCATAGCTGTGCTGACTTGCATCCCACCAGCACTGACTTAGAATTCCTGCTGCTTTATCCCCTTTCTTTCAGTTCTGTTGTGTGAGTGCTCAGAGGTGGAATTGCTGCTGGTGAATGGAATTAGACCCTAATGAATGTAAGGTGGCACTTCTTGGTTTTGTGTTTTTCCTGCCAGGGGTCCACTCGAAAACACCACAGCACACCTAGGTTCACATCTGGGCTTCTCGGGACTGTGTAGTTCTCAGACTGACCTTGCTTCTCATGGGCTGGCAGCTCTGCAGAGGCTGGTGGGTATACGATTGGCCAGGTGACAGTGCAGTCTTCTACACTTTGTTCTTCTCTTTCAAGATTGTCCTGTGTCAGCTGATCTCCATTTCCAAACAAATGATAGAATCACTTTCTGGCTATGTAAAAGAGCCCATGAGATTTCTTTTTCTTTCTTTGCAGTGCTGGGGATGGAACCCAGGCCTCCTGCATGCTAGGCAAGCGCTCTACTACTGAGCCACACCCCAGCCCTAGCAGGTGAGATGCTGACAGGGGTTGCATCAGTTTAGAATACTACCATCCCAACATTATTAACTCTTGCGATCCATAAGCGTGGGATGTCTTCCCATTTATTTAGGTCCTTAATTTCTTCCTACTATACTTTATAGTTTTCATAGTGTAGGTTTATACTTCCTTTGTTAACTATTCCCAAGTATTTTACTCATTTTGGTGTTTTATTAAGTGGAATTGTTTTCTCAGTTTTGTTTTGAATTGCTTGGTTTGTTTTTGTTGGTTTTTTGTTTTGTTTTGTTTGTTTTTGTTTTTCGAGACAGGGTTTCTCTGTATTGTTTGGAGCCTGTCCTGGAACTCATCTCTGTAGACCAGGCTAGCCTTGAACTCACAGAGATCCGCCTACCTTTGCCTCCCCGGTGCTGGGATTAAAGGTGTGTGCCACCAATGCCCGGCTGGATTGCTTGTTAATTGTATGTAGAAATGCAGTTTATTTTCATGTAGATTCCTGTGTGTCCCATGTCCTTGCTGAACTTAATGGTTCCCATACTTCTGTAAGATTTGCTGCTTTCCAGTTCCTGCCGTCTGCTGTTTCTCTAGCGTCCCGTTCCTTTCCTGCAGACTGCAGTCTGGGAACTGGATTTGCTGGTTAGGTGTCGCAGTACTCAACTACAGAAAGCAGCTCCATTTGTGTGGGCCATTTGTGTAACACTTCTTTGCTGTCTGGTGCCTTCTATTTCCTACTCTTGCCTGACTTCTCCAGCTGGGGCTTCCAGAAATAGAGTACAAGCATGGGCACCTGAACTGGCTCTTGATCTTAGAGGAGTATCTAGCCTTTTTGTCCTGAGTGTACTGAGAGCTCTGACCTTTCCCAGAAGTCTTCACTAAGTGGAATCGGTTCAGTTGTAGCTGGTTAAATTTTTATTGTTAGATTTTAGGTTATTGGATTTTGTCAAATGTATTTTCTGTGTTAAGTGAGATGATTGTGAGTTTTTTCCTTTATTGATGATGGTATTTATATTGATTTTTTTTGTTGTTTGTTTTTGTTTTTCCAGACAGGGTTTCTCTGTGTAGTTTTGGAGCCTATCTTGGCACTCTCTGTAGACCAGGCTGGCTTCAAACTCACAGAGATCCTCCTGCCTCTGCCTTCCAGGTGCTGGGATTAAAGGTGTGTGCCACCACTGCCAGGCTGATTAATTTTTTAAGTTGTTGTTGTTGTTGTTGTTGTTATTATTATTATTATTATTTATAGTGTTCTGCCTGCATGTGTGCCTACATGCCAGAAGAGGGCACCAGATCTCATTATAGATCCCATGTGGTTGCTGGGAATTGAACTCAGGACCTCTGGAAGAATGGCCAGAATGCTCTTAACCTCTGAGCCATCTCTCCAGCCCTATATTGATTAACTTTTAAAATGTAGTTCATTTGGGGTTGTTCTGTTCTGTTTTGTTTTTGAGACAAGGTCTTGTTGTGTTGCCTAGGCTGGCCCTGAGCTTGTAGTAGTCCTGCTGCTTACACATCCAGAGTGCTTTGGTCATAGATGTGCACCACTATACCTGTCATGGTTTTCTTACTGGAACCTAAGATGCATTCCTGAGATGAGGTGATGGTGTATGACCCTGTCTGTAGCCTGAAATCAGCCTTCTAGTATTTTGCCTACGGTCTTTGCATCTATAGTCACAAGACACATATCTTTGATTTCCTGGAACTGTTTTTTCTGGCTTTGGCATCAAGTTCATTTGAATTTGCCTGTTGTATTTCTTAGGATTTAACCAGGGTTAAGGTATGTGCCATCCGAATGAGGCTTCTGCAGGGAAGACTGATCTTTATTGTGGATATGCAACATTTTTCAGTGTCCCCTCCATGTGGTGCCCTTCACTGCCTATTTCTGTCTGTGCTCTAGAAGGAAGTTTCTGTGTGCTATCCATGTGGGAGGAGGAGGCAGGACTTGAGCTGCACTGCCTCGGGGTTGTGTCTCCATGTTATTAGAATTCCCCTTAAGGAAAACCTGACTCTTTTTCCACCATGTGTTAACTATCTAATAATTTGTTGGGATCAGTGTGACTCAAAGGTATTTTGTTTCGGGTTGTGATCAGATGCTGCTTTTACATTTTTTACTGAAGTTCTTTTTTGGGGAGGGCGGGGTTCGAGGCAGGGTTTCTCTGTGGCTTTGGAGGTTGTCCTGGAACTAGCTCTTGTAGACCAGAGATCCGCCTGCCTCTGCCTCTGCCTCTGCCTCTGCCTCTGCCTCTGCCTCCCGAGTGATGGGATTAAAGGTGTGCGCCACCACGCCCACCATTTTACTGAAGTTCTTTAGGCCATTGGCAGCTCTCATTTAGTTTCTATTTTGTTTGACACACCCCTTCTTTAGGAGTTCTTGGGGTTTTTTGTTTGTTTGTTTGTTGAGGCCCTTCCTGACTCATACCATAGGATGCTCCAATTGTCTGCACCCCCTGTCTGAACCCTGGAATCTGCCTTTTCCCTGGGGTCCTGTTCCTTCCCTGGGGGATGGAGGACAGTTTAAGAGAATGCAGTCTGGGAACTGGGTTTGCTGCTCAGGTGTACTACAGAAAGCAGCTCTATTTGCATGGGCCATGTGTGTAACACATTACGATGATCGTATCAGTTTTAATACTCTATCTTGAAGGTCCTTCTGCAGTCTGGCTCTTCCCTCCTGCCCACCATGCTCTCTACAAGAGTGCCATGGGGTCATAGGGTTTTGCATGTTGATCAGGGGCAACAGGTGTTTTGAACCTAGGAACAGATACCCCCTGATCCTAAATTTGTGCCAAGCCCAGAACTCACCTTATCTGACTTCATTTGAGGCCTCGGGGCCTATGCTGGAAGGTGGTTTCAGGAACATTCCTGCCTCAACATGTCTTCAAGTCTTGCTAGTTTCCAGGACACATGTCATTACCAAGATGGCCACCTGTGGAGTCTCTGCACCAGGAACAGGTGAACCCTGACTTCAGGTCAGGGGCTAGACACACAGCTGGCCAGTCTGTTCCCCTTTCCTTCCTCTCCTGTCTGTGCTGGGTCCCTATCATCTGCTCTCTGGGCTTTTGAGCCTCCTTTTGGTCTTAGCTTGTGGTTTGCTCCAGGGGCCCCTCCTCTTTCATGTCCAAAAGTGCTTCCTCCACTGAGGGTACAGAACTCTTATCAGCTTCTGCATATCCAGAAAGATGGGATTGTGCCTGGCAGAATGGCCTTGGGCATGGCCCTAGACTGTGTGTGGAAAGGCAGCAGTGCAGGACCACCTCTTCTGGATAGGGATCTAGTCCTGTATGCCCTGGGAGAGTGTTGTAGGGGGCTGGCATTTGTGCCTTAATGGCTTACTGGGATTCAAAGTGCCCCCAGGTCTCCGGCTTTAGCTGGAGTGGAAGGGCTGCTGTCCCTGTGACATGCTGACCGAGATAGAAGTCACAGCACAGACTCCTCCATCCAGGCTGCCCTGCTGAGCCTGACGACACTAATGGCTCTGCTTTCAGACAGTCCAGGATGGCCGGCAGTTTCTGAAGTATGTGGATCCCAGGCTGGGAGTCCCGTTGCCAGAGAGGGACTACGGGGGCAACTGCCTCATCTATGATGCTGACAACAAGACTGACCCCTTCCACAACATCTGGGTAGGGGCGTTCTTCTCAACTGCAGGGCCTCAGTAGCCCCAGGACTGTCCTTGTGTGTATGGGATCAGACAGGGTACCCTGCAAGACTGTCTACCCTCCTCAGGCTCCTTCGGGGCAGTGTGGTGTGGCTCTGCACATGGGGTCCAGGCCCTTGGCCCTGTTCATGTTAGATGAGGATCCAACAGAGAGGCATCATGCCTCTCTTACCATCATGGTCATCTGAAGGGGTCCACACAGCAACATACTTGCCAGACCCTGACTTGGCATTAGCCTGGAGGGTTGTGAGGGGGAGGGGAGTGGCTCTGAGCCTCTGCACAGCATGAGGTTGTATGCTCCCTGGAGACTTGCCCAAGATACCACAGGGGAGGAGACTGTCTGAGGGAGGGGCTGCCTGAGGTGGGAGCTGTGCCTCAGGGTCACATTCTTGTTACCTACAGGACAAGCTGGATGGCTTTGTTCCTGCACACTTCATTGGCTGGTATCTGAAGGTAGGGTGACCTAGCTGGCCTGACACCCTGGTTCTCTCTAGTTCTGCTTCCTTCATGTTCCAGGCCACTTGGTAGGTGGGTGAGCCCTGGTGAGGAAGCATTGCATCCTGGAGAGGATGTACAATACTGAAGCGTCCGGGTTTCTACTCAGTGGGACTCAAGTGCTAGTGCTGACCCTGCTGCTCAGATCTGTGTCCTGCTCCCAGCTCTGGCCAGTTAGCAAAAGGAAATGGGGGAAATGGCAAGGCAGAGAGCCCAGGTCAACCTGGGTTCCTGGCACACCCCACAGCAGTGCTGCCTGTCAGTCACACAGCACACAGCTTGAACCAGGCCTCCTGTCAGAGCTCAATGCCAAACCCCTGGGCCCCTCCATGTTGACTGACAATCTTAAAGTTAGAAGGGCAGCCGCCATCTACTACACATAGCAGGGACCCCTGGGGCTGGGGGCTGGGGGCTGGGATTGTTTGTTGGAAGGGCACAGTCTAGGGAGTGAGTGGCAAAGCCTGATGGGGAGATTTCTGGCGCCTCACAGACCCTCATGATCCGCGACTGGTGGATGTGCATGATCATCAGTGTGATGTTCGAGTTCCTGGAGTACAGCCTGGAGCACCAGCTGCCCAACTTCAGCGA